CGGGCTGGGCGGGGGGGAGGAGGAGGAAGAACTCGTGACGGAGGGCAACCACAACCCACTGAACTCCTACTTCCCCTTTGACCCGTTCCTGCTGAGGCGCTCCTCAGGATTCGTCGCCAGACCAAATGTGTACCGGTACTGGCAAGCGAAGGCGGTCTCGGATGTGATCGAGAAGGAGAAGAGTGCCTGGGTGCGCGTCAAGGAGGAGGAGCCGGCGGAGGGAGTGGACGGGGCGAAGGGGGTCGCCAGGGAGATCAAGGACGAACCCTGCAGTGACGAGAGTGGAAGCGAAGGGGAGGGAAGGCTTAACGAGGAGGGAGATGAGGAGAGCGAGGGGAGTGGCTGGGAGGAGGCGCAGGAGGAAGAGGAGGTCGAGGAAGAGGAGAGGGTCTCTTGGCGCCAGGCGTCGACCAGCGATAGGTCGGGGTTTGCGTCGGCAGCGCCTCCCTATTGGCCACAGGAACGGGCATGGGCAGCAAAGGGAATGGGGGAGGTGGCAAGGGAAGCCGGACGCCGGAAACGTGTCCGGAGGGACTCCATGGATTACGACAGCGACCTTCTCGGGGGTGGTGACGACCGGTACCGAGGCTTCGACGAGGAGGAGGAGGGCGGGACGGAGGACGAAGGAGTGGAAGCATCCGATCGTGTGGCATTGGCGGCAAGAAAAGGGGTTCTGCTGAGCGACCACATTATTGAAGCAGTGGCGGTGGCGGCCTCGGTGTCGCGTGCACGAAAAGAAAGCGTGAGTTCGGTGGGAAGCTGGTAGAGATAGCAAGAACGGGGCTAGCAGATGTACATACATCGCAATTTTGTGTTTAGAAAACGCTCGATAGCTTTGCAGGGGATGCAGGAGAAGTGAGGCAGGAGCAATGTAGTCATTCGGCCCTGCTTTGACCAGATAAAGCTTCCTCGTGAAGGGCTCCGTCTGTAACAAAAGCAACTCGGCACCGCGGCATCTCCTACTGATGTCATGTCTTCGGTGACAAATCTCAACAATTATTTTCTTTCCCGCTCCCCCACCGCATTCGCACCGGGTCACGGTATGTCATCGGACGGGAAATTAATACATACAATCCATCGCCAGTTCCTTACTGCCTTCCTTCCTGTACTGGCGTACCGACTCAATCCATCGCCAGTTCCTTACTGCCTTCCTTCCTGTACTGGCGTACCGGCTTACATATGTCCAAGCCACGCATTCCGACTCGCCGTTTGACATCTTAAGATCAATCCAGTTAGCATACAACGTCTGAATCGATCGATTCACACAGAATCCAAAAGGAAAAACTTCACTTCGCCTAAGCCTCTCAACGCTACCTTACACATGTCCGCAGATTTATTAACTCCAATATCGTGAACGTGAAAGCAAATACACTACGCTCCTGCTGGGAGTCGCTCTTGCATCGACCATTCTAAACCCTAAACTCTCCTATTTTACTCTCCTCATCGAACGAAAACCTAGTGGATCGGTGCTTCGCACCCTTCTCTTGAGCAGCAGCCAATTTTGCTACGGCCGCATCGAAATCGTCCACCTCCCCGTCATCAAGCCCACCCGAGTGCCCTTCATCCTCCGAGGAGGAGGACATGACAATGTCTTCTCTATTCCAGTCCTTAAAGAACGACGTGTACTGCTCATTGAACTCCCGTGCGACGATGGCGATCGGCAG